TATTTCTAAACTATGACTCTTAAAATTTAAAAATTAGCCGTGACACCTTTTCTAAGTTTCAACTCTATGTTTTTTTTTATGTTTATATATTTTGAGAGAGAGAGAGAGTGAGACTGAGCAGGGGAGGGGCAGAGAGAGGGGGAGAGAGAGAATCCCAAGCAGGCTCCATGTTGTCAGAGCAGAGCCCAATGCAGGGACCCCACCTCACAAACTGTGAGATCATGACCTGAGCTGAAATCAACAGTTAGAACCTTAACCAACTGAGCCACCTAGGCACCCCTCAACTCTATTTTTCGTCACTAATTTTACATTTACAGTTGAGCATCTCAATCTTACCAGGTAAGAAACAGAATCATTTACTTCGACCTAACGTTAAAACCCTCCCCCAAATAACCCTCATACCTCTGTTATGGCAAATGCTATCACCCTCTTGGGACCTTCTCAGTTGTTTAAGCCTATTTGTCACCCATTGTCTACCTGTTTCCTCACCCCACGGACCTTTAATTCCACAGTCCAATGATCTTTATGTTCTTTGTCTTCTGTCTTCAGCATCCCTGGCCTCCATTCAGGTTCTCCTGTATATGTTATTGCATTTGTTTTCCTAAATAATATCTCCATTCCTATCCCCATGACTTGTCACCCTTTAAAGCATTCTAAAATGGGGTGAGGGGAGTGGGAGGTTGGGTTAAATAGGTGACGGGTCTGAGTGCACTTGTAATGAGCATCAAGTAATGTATGGGATTGTTGAATCACTATATTGTACACCTGAAACTAATATAACATTGTAAAAAATAATAAAGTTACACTTATACCAAAAAAATTTTTTTTTAATTCTAAAATCTATCCAAAATAGTAGCAATTAATACTCTGTGGGCTTACTGTGGTAAGGCACTGCTGACTTTTGTTTCGTTTTGACTCCATAACAGCCCCATTTTGAAATAACCTCCTCAAGGTCATTCAGTGAAGGGACAAAGCTAGGAATCCAGGTAGCCTGACTCAGAGCTCTGCTAGGCTAGGCTGCATGACATCCTGGAATTCTCTGTCATTGTGTTATATATGTCTCCATCTGATTCTCCTCCTCTGGTGGATGGCCTGGTTGTCGTCTTTTTGAGCCAAGGCCTGCTTTGTGTTCCTTTCCCAGAGCTGTTGGTCTACTGATGTGTAGAGTAAAACTGAGAGCTGGTACAGAGACCAAAGAATCCCTAGGCCACACACCCATGAAGGATGGGCTAAGAGGAGGGTGGTCTGAATATACTGTCCATTTTAGCCTTTACCTGCTCCCTACTGTGTGATGCTCACATGGGTGAGTGCTTTAAGGGGCTTAGGGCTAAGTGGCCAGCCTGGAGCGTACGATCTCCCCTTTATTTCTTTGGCTAACTCCAACACATTTTTCAGGATTTACCTTTAGCATCCTTCCTATATCTTCCTGCCTGCATTCCTGCCCCTCTTCTATGCTTCTCAGTTATGTGAGACTGCCTGAGGGCAGGCACTGTGGCTTTTCTTCTCTGTATTCTGTACCACTAGAATTTAATAATCATTGACTCTAAATGCATGACAGGGAGGCAGATTTGGGCTTAGCATAAGATAATTTTTTAAAATTTATTTTTGGGAGACAGAGAGAGTGGGAGTGGGGGAGGGGCAGAGAGACGGAGACAGGATCTGAAGCAGGCTCTGCGCTGACAGTGGAGAGCTGAACGCGGGACTCAAATTTACAAACCAAACCGTGAGATCATGACCCGAGCCAAAGTCAGACACTTAACCGACTGAGCCCCCCAGGTGCCCCAAGAGAAGTTTTAAAAAGTATACTGTAAAGCAGAGTACAGATTAGTGGCTGAGAGCCTTCATGTCTTACCCTGTTCAAATTTCAGCTTTCTATCACCTTGAGCCAGCTTAATCTGTCTGTACCTCAAAAAATGATGACATTAATACCTATGTCATTAAGTTGTTGTTGAGAATTAAATGAGATAATACATGGAAAATACTTGGCTCAGTTCCTGGCACCTCATAGGCACTAGGTAATGCTAGATATTACTATTGTTTTTATTATTGCTACTTTGATCATTCACTAGCACTGTCTTATAACAAGGCGGGTTGCTTTTGGAAGCAGCGAGTTTCCTTTTGTTGAAGGTATTCAGGTAGCAGTAAAGACAGGATAGATGCTGTAGAAGCAGTTCTTAAATTGAAAAGATTAGATGACTTCTAAGGATGCTTTTAATCATAGAAAAGGGAAGCTATTTCTCAGATTCAAAGAAAGTGTGATCATTAGTGTTACTTCTAGCAAAGTTGAGGAGCATTGGAATAGGAAAAACAAAGACATCGGATTTGGCATCTGCATGTATCTATATTACAAAGAACAAAATATTTTATTCATTGTGAGCAGTTAATTGCAAAAGCCCTTTTATTTATGCTGTAACCCATATGGCAAATCAGGCCCTTACACGAAAATCAATCCCTTTTCAAAAGGACTAGCTAGCTCGGCCCTGCCAAAAATGGAACAAACAAAACCTTAAAGACTGTTTCAGTCCTACTGAAATGTCTTTTCCCTTTGAAAGAAGTCTATTAGTGATGCAAATGCAAAGTTATCTGCACAGATGATAATCCTAGCGAACAAAACAGTGAAACCATTATGAGGTTCTCTTGCTGAGAATTTGGCTTCCCCTGCCCCTGTTAAAAAGGCAGAGAAAGCCAGTAGAGCTGATTCCTATTTGGGATAGTTTATTAGGTCTGCTTATCTGAATCCTGGACTAATTATTCTTATGTTTGGCTTAAAGGAGCCAAACAATTCTCCAAATGTGGACAAGCTGAAGAAAGGCCTGCAGTCTGGGTCCCTAGCAAGTGCCTTAAACAGGCAAAAGCAGGAATGGAATAACATTTATATTCGGGAGTTCAATTTTCAAGATACCAGAGCCTTAAGGTAAGATCTAGCTAGAAGAAATCCAATGATAAGCACTCATGTGGGAGTAATTTAAGTGATGTGCACATGTCACTCATGCTTTAATTAAAACAAAGCTATTTGTACGGGTGAAGAGACGGTCATTTTCCAACACCTTCTATTCAATACTCAGAGTAAACAACTTCTTTGAGAACTTAATATGCAATCTTCCTGTGGGCAAAAGGATTGAAATGAGAAAAATGAGGCAGTTAACTGTAACTGGCTTGACTATTATTTGATTACACTTATTTTATCCTTAAGAGGTTTGATAAGACCTAGTTTTTCAGGAGTCATCAGGCATTAGGGAGCACTAGTGGTTAGAAGGTGTGGTGCCTATGGATATTAGGAAGGCATTTCTGAAGCAAAGTAGTATTGTCAAAGTGGCCCTCACCTACTTGGTTAAAGCTTTTGGACATGCCTAGTGGACGGTTTATTGAGAACAGAAAATTAACTCTCCATGTCCACACGCTTTCTTGAACAGGTATTAACAGGTGGAGCCGGTGTCCACAAGACTGGATGCGATGCTCACCATCTGGGTCTCACTCTGGGTGGGGCTTTGGGTAGGTACACTAAAGAGCTTCCGGATCAATCATGTGTTTACATTTCAGGCGCAGGATGGGTCTTGTTCACACTCCACCCTCCACCGCCTTTCCTTCGCAAGGTTGCTCACAGCTTGCACTGTCCCCGCCCGGGTCTTTGATAATCCAGGCGTCTCTGGGGAAGAAGGTCAACCACTGTTTTAATTCTGGACTCTGCCAGCTTCCCACGCTCTCCACTCGGGCTGGTGAGCAGCCGCTCAGCGTGTTTTTCCCCCAGAGCTTCCCACGCCCTACCCACTCCACACGCCTCCTGGCTGCCCTCCAGGCCTGCCCTCTTTTGCAGCCAGGCAGGCCAGCTTCAGTGTCGGATATCTAATCTAGCAAGGCTCACTTTTCTCAGGGGCTTTCCTCAGGGCCACCCTTTCCCCGCAATCTCAGAAGGTCTCTGGTACTCGGCTGTGTCTTCTGCGTGCAAGTGCTTCTACAAATAAACTGGGGCTCCTGGCTGTCTTGCAAATTAAAACTTTACTACCTGCTTAAGGTTGGGACGTGATACAGCCACATCAAACTTTGCTGTTCAGGGAATCAGAAGCGAAAAGGAGCTCCTTTTTTCCGTCCCACTCCCCGCGGCCCCTGGGACAGGCACACCTTCCCGGCAAGGCTCGGCCGCAGTTGCGCGCGGGTCGGCAGCGCGAGAGTCCTGCGCGGGACCAGGGTCCGGTGCGGCCGGGCCGCCCGCCCACGCCCGGCAGGCGCGCGGAGCAGGAGCGCGCACGGGGCCGCACGCGCGCGGGGCCGACGAGCGCTCCCTCCGGGATCGCGGCTGCGCAGTCTGGCCGGAGCCGGGAAAAGGGGGAGGAGGGTGGAGGAGCCGGAGTAAGGGGAGGGGGAGGAGCGGCGAAGGCGGAAGCCATGTTGGAGTTGCACCCCGAGCGAGGGGCTGCGAGCGTTCTCCTCTCCTTGTGGGTGTGACCCGGGTTCGGCTGGCGGCGGACTGCGGGGGCGGGGACGGTTAGCCGGGTCGTCGTCCGCGGCGGCGGCGGCGTGAGAGGAGCGGCGGCGGCCGCAGCGTGGAGCCGGGCGATTGTGACCGCCGGGGGAGCAGGGGGCCGGCCGCGGCTCCCACTCTCCGTGTGGCCCCCTGAGCGCCCCCCCTCCCCTGCCCGGGAGGGAGGCGGGGGGCACCCGGGGCCCGCCATGAACCCCGGGTTCGATTTGTCCCGCCGGAACCCGCAGGAGGACTTCGAGCTGATTCAGCGCATCGGCAGCGGCACCTACGGCGACGTCTACAAGGTAAAGGCGAGGGGCCGCGCGCCGCCGAGGCCGCGGGGTCGGGACCCGTCGCGGGGAGGGCGGGGGGCGCCGCCGCTGCCCCCCGGACACCCGCGTCCGCGCTGTCCCTCCGCGGGAGGCGCGGGCGCCCCGGGAGCAGTGGGGGAGGCGGAGGAGGAGCGGGCGCCCGGGGGGCTCTGCTGCCTTGGAGCGAACAAAGGGCCAAACGAGTCACCCCGAGACCTCCGAGCCCTTACCTGAACCCTCCCCTGGACGCGCAGTGCCCGGCTAAGGCTGGACGCGAGCGGGCCGCTCTGCTCGTTACAGCGCGGAGAGGGTCTGGCCGTTTGCTGCATTGGCAGGGTCAGAGCGACGAACCAGACGGCGGGGGTTTGGCGTATGTCAAACCGGTGTCCATCAGACGGACCCGGGACTGCCCGCCGTGGGTCGGGCACTGCTGCCCACTGGGCCGGCGGTAGTTTGGAGCCTGGGCAGCTTCCGCCCACAGCCCCCCAACCTCTGGCCTCTTAGCATCCGCATACCAGTTTTCTTTTAATCTTCCAAGTATTGACTTGGGTGAGTAAAACAGATCTAGTTAGTATAATTTTTTTTCCTGTTTTGGAGAAAAACAACTTTGTTTTCTCCAAATTGAATTGGACTGTGGTGCCTTATTAAACTTGTTTTTGTCAGTGACATAGAAGATTCAGATTCTTTTTTTTTTTTTTTTTTAACGAATACTCAACAAGGGTACTGGTTTGACTCGGTTAGAATTCAAAGTCCATTAGTCGTCCAGCTTTCCTGTTGTAAAGGTACCCCCTAGATAAATCACCCTTCCGTGGCCAGCTCAACTCTTGGCCTCGTAGAGACTGCCAAGATGGGGATAGCGCCAAATGTGGCAGCAGTCTTGATTTATTTATGTATCTTCTTACTGGTGACTGAAGTACAACTCCTGTTTCACATAACATCAGAGGATGCACAGAGAAACTTAATTTTACTTTGGAAAGTTTCGTCTTAACTTTATTTTGCCCACGGGTGGCAACTCACAGGACAGCCAGGATTCTGCATTCGTCTCCTTTTGTGGATGATTTGCTTTCCGTCATCACCTGTCTCATCAGTTTTTCTCGTGAGATAATACAGGCATTTTGTGCACACCTGTCATCTATACGGTACTGGGCATCTAAGCACGGGTTGTAGCAGAAAAAGATAGACATGTTCCTAAATCTTACTGGGAGTTTATCTATTTTGGGGAGGGGGCAAGAAGACCATTAAACAACCACTTAGATAATTATTTTATTGCAGTTTTATTTTGTGCTGCCCAGGAGAAAAGAAGATTAGGATTAGGGTGATGAGAGCACAGTAACAGGAGGACCTGATCTCTGGGGAGTCAGAGGCATTGGGGAGAGAAGATTATGCCAGATAGAGGCACATAATCTGCAAAGGCTCTGAGGCCCCAAGGAACAGGGGGAAGATTTGAAAGGCCTGAATGGCCTGAGAAGCCAGAGAAGGAGGGTGGCCCTAGATCATACAGGCCCCTTAGGTCTTATGAAGCGGTCAGATTTTTCTGTAGGACAATGGGGAGCCATGGTTGGGTTTTCAGTGGAAGAGTAAAATTAGATTTGTACTTTTAAAAGATCTGCCTTACTGCAGCGGAGATTGGAGGGGAAAGAACAGTTAGGCAGCCATTGCCACAGTCCAGGTAAGAATGACCATTGGCTGTGTTTTGGAATTGGTGTGATTATGAAAGTTGAAGTGAATGGATCCAAGTAGATTAGAGCTATTTAGGGGAATCTAGTTATATTCAATTGAAAAGGTAACTAAAACTTTACTAGTGTGTAAGTCTTAGGTGGCAGTGTGTACAGTAAGTTCTTTTCAAGAATAATTGGCCATGTATTTACTATATTTAGAAAAAACAGCTGGTAGTTAAGCCACATGATTAAAAAGAAAAAAAAATTAAGGCCTATAATTTCCTAAGGACTTCTAAGTGCAATACAGGTATAAGTTGATTACTCGTCATCTGTTTATTTATTTATTTTTTTCAACGTTTATTTATTTTTGGGACAGAGAGAGACAGAGCATGAATGGGGGAGGGACAGAGAGAGAGGGAGACACAGAATCGGAAACAGGCTCCAGGCCCCGAGCCATCAGCCCAGAGCCTGACGCGGGGCTCGAACTCACGGACCGCGAGATCGTGACCTGGCTGAAGTCGGACGCTTAACCGACTGCGCCACCCAGGCGCCCCACTCGTCATCTGTTTAAAGTAATGATAATGAGAACTAACATTTGTGGAGTGCTTATTCTTTGCTAGGTACTGCTGTAAGGTTTTTCCGTGTATTAATTTACTTACTGCTTACAGCAACCCTATGAAATCGGTGCTGTTATTAACTCCATTTTGCATTTGAAGAAACTGAGGCACAGGGAAGCTGCGGTAACTTGCCAGGGTGGGTAAGTGGCAAAGCACAATTCGAACCTTATCCTTTAGAGACTGCATTCTTAACAATAGCAGTACTGCCTGTATAAAGATAGGATATGAGCAGGTAATGTCTTACTGAATTTTCCAGTGGAGAAATCAGGGCACACCTTTTAGTTCAGCATACGTGTTGTAGCCATACTCTGTGTTAGAGTGGATCTTGAAGTAGTAGTCGGAATACCTAACTCCTACTGTGCAGCCAGGCCTCATTGTTTTTGTAGAGTCTGCCAAGTGGACACCAGATAATAGAGGCTTGATCCCTGTGCCAGACTTTTCCAATACCAGGGGCCCAAAGCAGAAAACTCCATGTGGTTTTTGGCATTGTACACCCTGCTTGCTAAATCACCCAAAGCTTAAGCTGTTTGTATTTTTGTCTGTAATCACGTCCACATATAAAGATAAAAGATTTTTTTTGTATTTGTTTGGCTGTTTTAGATTTTTCTTAATTGTACAAACTGTTGATTAGAGAGGAGTACATAAGAGGGTTTGTTTTCAAAAGCCAGTGTGTGTAATGTGCTCCTTAATTTGTCAGTTTAGGTGCTAAAAATGGAATAATCAGATTAAATAAGGTAGAGACTTAATTGTTTATAGTCATTCTTGGAAGGTGGGTGCTTCAAGGGATTTTTATTTTCAAACTGTATCCTAATGTGATAACATGCTTATTTAAGGTGGCATGGTTTAGTTAAAAAGCACTGGAGTAGAATGTGGAAGACCTGGAATTTATTAGTTGTGCAGCCTTGTAAAATCATTTAGCCTCTCAGCTGTTTTGTTGTGAAGGTGTTATTACCATCATATGCCTGTTTATGGTGTTAGATAAATGACTTGAGTTTTACCCAACAAGTTTTCATTTTTTCTAGGCCAAAAAATACAAGTATACATTCTCTCTGCACTACCTTAAAGTACGTGAAAATAGAGTTTAAAAAAAAAGTCATACTTTTAAATGTCCTGTAACTGTATGGACTTTATCTGTGAGATGAAGTATTTGTAGCATCGGTTACCTAGGGACCTAGGAGTTGACAACTAGAGAGCTCAATGACTGGGCCTCAGGAGGTCCTCTGACATTAATAGGTTTAATGTATGTATATACATATACACACGTATATATATATACGTGTGTATATGTATATACATATACATATGGGTGTTCTTTTGGAGAGATGGCTTATAGTGTTCATTACATTTAGAAAAAAGAAAAGAATGAACAATCTATAGGTTTGTCATTTCAGAGAGTTCTCTTGGAGAAATTAGGCAGTTTACCAGATCACATTATCAATGTTTATTAACATTAATAGGATTTTCACATGCGTTGTACTATTTTTTCTCAGGTAGCTTTTTCAGTTCGTCATATTCCTACACCATGTCTTGTTGTTTTTCTACATTTATTGCTAGAGAGAAGCAGAAGATACTAAAGCTGGAGATAGAGTAAGGCAAGGATGTTTGAAGGACCAGTCTTACTGTGTCTCTAAGGAAGTGTCTCATCTAGTCTCATGGCTTAAGCTTGATCCTGTGAATGACTCCCAAATGTGTTTCCGGTTCGTGCTTTCTCCTGAGCCATAGCCCACTGTCTCCACCTGACCTCTTTCTTTACAGAGCACATCTGCCTCCACATGGGCCTTTCCTTATATTCCACTTCTGTCAAAAGCCCCAGTGTTGGCAGTTTGCTAAGGCTTGGGGCCTTGGAATCATCTTTTATTCCGGACAGGACTTTGTAGGCATTTCCCAAAATGTGTCTGGGATGCTCCAGAGAAAGCACTACTATCAGTATACCGAAGACTGAGACATCATGTGGTAAAGAAACCTGTTAAATGTTGCTTAACCCAGCAAACTCCAAACTTGCTTGTCTGTGGGATTCTTTTTCTCTGTAATCCATATTGCTTGTCCTTAGAATCAGTGTCCTGTAGAGAACATGCTTTGGAAATGTTGATATTGATTTTATCTGTGTGTGTTTGGAAGCCATTCCCTGTGAAGCAGAGGCTGCACTGTTGCTAAGCATCGAAGTAGCACTCACATGGTAGTCTGGGTAAACAGACGGAGTCTCTATGAAAGCTGATAGGAGCAAAACGGAAGATTGGGCAGTGAAATCAGAAAATTCATTTGTTCAAGCATTTAGTGAATTGTGTTGGTTTATTTGTAGCTCTGTATCTTTCAAGGTGTTCTGATTAATATCCTCAAACACTAATTCTTTCATTATACTCCATGGTTATAAGATTGGAAAACTCAGTTCTGAAACCTAACTTCTTTTGAGGAACATGAATACCTTAAGCATGGAGAAAAGAATAGCTGAAGGAAAATAAAACCTGATTGTCTAAGGCTATGCTTATTTTTCACTTTCATGGAGGACAAAGTCTAGGGGGACCTGAGGTCCTAAACTTCAGAAAGGTCGTTTGAGTATTTAAGGTAAAATTAAGGTAGAATTTTCCAGCATCAGTAGTTACTTGAGATGGCAAGTGACAGTGGGACAGATTGTGGGATCATTTTTCTTGAGAGCTTTAAAAGCAACAACAAAACAACCCAGGTTATCTGACTTTGATATGGATCTGACTCCCTAAAGGAGGTGCTTACCTCCAAGGTTTAATATGTATACATATTTACTTGTGACAGAACATTTAATACATTATTTTGTATTGAGAGTGAATAGTTGGTAGTTCTCTTTTGAGAGTACACTGAACAACCATCCTACATTGAATAGCACTACTGTGAAAGGAAATGTGTTAGGGACTGTGAGCGGAGTAGCAAAAATGACAAGATTTGGCCCTTGGTATTTATAGGGACGTGGAATGTGGACCTACTTTTAGCTATCATAGTTTTGAGTTCAAAACCTTTTTGATTTCTTCTTTTCTATTATATTAAATCTCTTACTGGCTGAGAGATTGTCTAGACACTCCATAATCTGGACAGATGACTTCTCTGTAGCTTAGTAAAGTGGTTTAAGAGCTGGGTTCTGTCTGGAGTCAGAATGCCTGGTTTCACCACCCTTAGCCAATTACTTAATCCTTTTTTCTCTGCCTCAGTTTACTCAGCTGTAAAGTAGTGATGCTTAGAAAAGGGCCTTGCACTCTGTGCCTCTAATCATTAATTGCTTCTAGTATTATTTATTACATATTTCTTTTGCTACTGGCCTAACCTACCCTGCTTCTCATGCTCCTGCCTCAGGGTTTTTGCACTTGCTGTTCTGGGCCTGAATTCTGCCCTCCCCCGATAGCTATATGGTTTGCTTCTTTGTTTCCCTTGGGTTTCAGCTCACATGTCACCTTTTAATGTGTCTGTTCCTTACACCTTATAGGAAACAACACCCCATTCTCTTTTTTTTTAATGTTTTATTTATTTTTGATAGAGTGTGAGCAGGGGAGGGGCAGAGATAGAGGGACAGAGGATCTGAAGCGAGGTCCGTGCCAGTAGCAGCAAGCCCGATGCAAGGCTCAAACTCATGGACAGCGCCATCATGACCTGAGCCTAAGTCCCAGGCTCAACTGACTGAGCCACCCAGGCACCCCACCCTACTCTTAACTTTCTGTCTTTAACAGGGATGCATCCAGATTTTGTAGGGCCTGAAGTTTATATAGTTTGGGGGGGGGGCTCATTA